CTATGCCTCTTAGAAACTAGGCTCTTGCAGACTCAGCCAGAACAAGGTGTGTTCCTTCAGCTCCCTCAATGTCCATCTGTGGACATTCATCAATTTTATGCCTGGGGACCCCAAAACATCCACACACCACTTACACCTTTCCAGGGACCCACTCACAGTGAATGGGTGGTGTGAAGGAGGGCATGTAAGCCTCCTGCTGGTCTTCCACGTGACTTCAGGCTCATCCGGGTTGGACAAGCTGGGCTCCAGGGCCTGGAGGGTGTCCCTAGGCTTTCGGATTTTCAGTGATCCCTATCCTCAGCAGGCAGTTGGACAGGGGTCGTAGGCTTTCTTCTTCATTATAGGCTAGATGAGTTTCAGTTGGCTCTACACCTTCAATTAGGGTCTGACTGCTGGTCTCCACCCAACTACAGAGGCAAAGGGTTTGATGAACTGCTCCCGGGTGATCCATTTCAGCAATTCTTCAAACGTCTGCTCTCCTGTGCACAGCCGGTGACATCCAGCATCTAGTAGGACTGTCATCAAAACTCAGTCATCTGAACTTCATGGTCCCTTCATTTTCCAGTCCCACTGCTGTGCAATGCTTTCAAGCTTGGGTGTCTGCCAACACAACGTTTAAGAGCAGCCTGTTGGACACAAGGTGAGTGAAACTCCCAAACCTGACACCAATGTACAGTAGCACTTACAACTCCTCTGAGTTCATCAGAAATGGAATTTCTACTCAAGGGAAAAGACACCTCTCAGCATGAGCACAAGGAGGAATAAGAGCCTTCTTAGTTTAGCAACTGAACCCCACTCCCAACTCTCTCCATCACACAGCTGCTCACCAACAGACCAGCCCACAGACCACTGGAGTCCTGTCTACAGGAGACTGACTGGTGGTTCCACTGCAGACAGAGCAACAGACATCAACCATGAGAGGAGTCTACGGGGATTAACAACACAAAAGCAACACATGCTACATGTGTCTACAGCAGCTCTTAGTCTATTCCTACCATAGTCTATCCCTATATTACTAATAGTAAAAATACTAAGATTAATGCATTTGATATATTAGATGGATGTACTTATATGTTAATTATATGTTTAAATATATTAAGTCATTTGTTCTGAAGTACTAAACATTTCCAAATAAAACATTATATTCTATATATTAAACTTTACAGGCAGAAACTGTATTTCATATTGTTACAAATGGGGGGAGGGGGGGTTATGAAAATGGTAAAAAATCAGGAATTGACCAAGCAGTTTAATCCACAAGTTAAATAATTATTCCTAACTTGTAATAATTTCTCCAGGATATATCTGAGCGGTCGGTATAATTAGAGGCATGTGAATTATTTATTCTCTGGCACAACTTTGGTAAAAAGAGTAATAATCCAGGTACACTTGGTTAAACAAATGGTAATTAACAAGGAGAAGACAAACACTACGCTGCATCATACAACACACAAGTTACTATACAGTATATACAGTAAAACAAGGCATTTCAGAGGTGCGGTGGCTAAGGATCTGCACCTTTTGGCTGGAAGGTTGCCGGTTCATATCCCGCGGCTGGCAGAGGAATCCTATTCCGTAGGGCCCCTGAGCAAGGCCCGTCACCCAAACTGCTCCAGAGGCGCAGTATAAATGCCTGACCCTGTGCTCTGACCCCAAGCTTCTCTCCCTGTGTAACGAACAGTTCTTTCCGGACCCTATGCGGACGACACAATCCGACGAAGTGGGGGAACACTGGGGAAACGTCATGCAGGAAAACGGGGCTGAAGACAGGGGGGCGTGTCCAAGGTGCGCTGGTGCACGGGGGAGGTGTTGCCGAGGCGAACAATCCAA